CACAGCAGCCGAGCAGGAGTTACAACGAATCAGAGTCACAGAGGTCAAGATCAACAATACAAACTGTCTGAATATGACATCAAACACAAACGTACATTATGTGTACTTATTTTGTATGCTTTTACTTTCTTTCTGCAGGATAAAGTTGTGTGGGTAAGTACACTTTCTTCCAAGTACAATCCTAACCGTTTCTGTATCAAGAGGAGATTACAAAACTGCCTCTTATATCCACAGGATGAGCGTAGACGAATTGGGACTCCAACAGCACGAGCGAGGGTTTGTTGCAATCTTTTTGAGTCCAAATTCAAAGTTGAAATTCAAATATAACAACAACAAATCATTTCACCAGTTGGATGCCAAATTGCCACAAATGTCAGATATCGGCGCTCTACTTTCCACTGTAAGCCTTTTCGATGTTTTACTACTCCATTAGATTGAGAAGAAAACAGTATTGAATTTATTTTCCCCTTTAGGACTCTCATAAATAACACAGCATATAAACATAAATACAAAAATTAAAGAATGAATAGATAAAAGGTCAAACTTAATTTAGAATAAAGAGAAGGTAAAAAGAAAAATCAAGTGGGAGACAATAAATATAAATAAATAAACAGAGAGAAGGCGTCATGTTGTTCTTTTTCACACTAAATAGTTGTAAGAAGAAATCTACTAATATCACTAGGATTTCATTTACATGTAATCTTTACACCAAGGTTTCTGTGTTTATTTTATCCTGCAGGTCACAATGGAGTTTGGCTTAGACAAAAGAGTGCAGACTCTTCAAGGTCTTGCCTTCCCCTTACAAGAAGAGGCCAAGCGAGCTCTGCAGCAACTCAAGCAGAGACGCATCAACTACATACAGCTGGTGAGCCCCAACAAAACCCCTTTTTACTAATTACTCAGCGTGCATCATGTAACTTATTTATTGGTGAAATTGGCTCTGCGTGACTTGACCCCTGAACAAAGCATGTTTGTGTGTGCTGCAGAGGCTGGATGTAGAGAAAGAGACCATTGAGTTGGTTCACACCAAACCTACAGAGACCCACGAGCTTCCCTACAGGATTCCCTCAGATTCTCCCAGATACCACTTCTTCATCTTCAAACATTCCCACCAGGGCCAGCGGCAGGAGGCACTGGGTGAGTCTCTCTGTCAATTGCATGTTTATCTTCAGTGTGCTTGTCGTAGAATCTCACAGAATGTCACATATTCAAGTTACACCATGTGGTTGCCAACCCCAAACTTAAAATGCACTAATCTGCAATTTGACCTATATAACAATGGGTCGTGTGCAACATGAAATGACCCCACCGGAAATAATGATTGATTCTGCAGATGCCCTCAATGTCTTTAATCTGATTGTTTAACATAATGTAACATTTAGCAGATAAAGAGACATATATTTTAACAACACAAAGAGGAGAGTGAATATTGGACTTTCATTTGTCAGGCTTGACACAACAATCACTCCAAATCAATGATAATGTTGGCCCATTATGCAGTGTGGTAATTGATAATGTTATACTAACATTTTAACCATATGGACGTTATAAGAGGACAGTAATGTATATCAATGTTGTGTTTTTATTGCTTTCAGGCATTATATTCTATTACTCTATTTTCCATGTTTTTTCTCTATGTCTGTTTTTGGTATGCAATATTTATCCACTGGTTGAATAAAAAAAGGTTTACATTTTTTCTCCCAGTGACCACAATGGTTTTCAAAATGTTGCTCAAATATTGGTTTAAGTCGCTCCTGTTGAGTAGTTTTTACACAAGTGCTTAAACTACTATTTGATTAAGGTCAAGTGATAGCACCTCTTGTAAGTACTGATGTACTTTGTTCAACCCCCCTGTGTAGTGTGTTGTTTAGAGAAGCTGGGAATGATTGTGGGTGTTTTTGTAACGTCTGAGACAGGGGTTTGTTTCATAACAGATATGATAACCAAATATAATACAGTGAAGTTGGAAACAACAACTTTATATCTCTTCCAGTGTTCATATATTCGATGCCTGGTTACACCTGTAGCATCAAGGAGCGGATGTTGTATTCAAGCTGTAAGAACCGACTACTGGACGAGGTGGAGAAAGACTATCAGCTGGAGGTCACCAAAAAGGTTCACATCACCAAAATCACCCAAGATTGAAATAAGAAACTGATGCATGATCTGTAATATATCTCTGTGGAGATAAACAGTAAACCACGTCACCAAATTTGATCTACAAACTGGTTATCATAGTCAAAATGAATCTGTGTTTTATTCTGTGTGTCTAGATGGAGATAGACAATGGCGATGGCCTGACAGAAGACTACCTGTACGAGGAGGTGCACCCGATGGAGCACGCCTTGAAGCAGGCCTTTGCCAAGCCCCGCGGACCGGGGGGGAAGAGGGGCAACAAACGCCTCATCAAGGGCGCTGGAGAAAACGGGGAAGAAAGTTAGATGCACACACAATATATTATACATGAGTACACAAACACACCACACTATATCTATGAATGTACTTGTTATTTGACTGTTTAGCTTCTAATCATTTCTCCTTTTTACCTTCAGACATTTCAAACGGAGAAAGTAGATCCACCATGCAAAAAAGGAGGGTGTGGAAAATATATAGCCTATATCTTTTCTTGTGGTAAGAGAGAGCTTCTAAAGTTAACACTGTTAGCGTAAGTGTAGGCAAGCTGACACATATTTTGGTCTATTAAGATTAAATTGAATTTGGCATACAACGTGTTAGTGAATCAAGCGGCATTTTTTAGGTTTATATGTGAATGCATCCACAGAGTTGATAATTTAACCGTTCTTATCCACTTATCCGGGTGTCAGTCATAACAACTTATTGTGCAGCAAAACCTTTTTCAAACCCACAGTACTTTATTATCACTTGTAGAGGAGATCCAAAACGTTCCAGAAATGCTAAATACTTATAGACCTTATAGGGAAATGTGTATACAATAATATGCTCAGCAGATATATTATTTCCATTACATGTAATGTGGAAAGCGATTTAAAACATGGAGTATCAGATTCTAAAAGCTCACTGTGAATATCTTTGATATAGACTTCAACAAGACAATACACTGTGGAAATTATTGCAAATAATATGACATATGGGGGAAATACAATCACTCGATTTATTGGTGGAAAGAAAGATTGATAGGACGTTGCTGATTTTACTTTATTAACTACAGCCAGCCGCAGTTAGCTAAGTTAAGCATTAAAGACTGTAAATGGGGAGTTCAAGGCTCACTCATTTAAAGATGATATCTTGTTAGTTTAATCTGTCTTAGAACCTCTTAAAACAACTGGATGTTAATAGGATACTATTTTATTAATACATTTTTCATTTGCCAATCCAAGTTGAAGGCAAATGCTCAATCAGATCTGTCTTCTCCTGTTTCTGTGCTCCTCTTCAGGAAATAATTAACATCACCAGTCACTAATATTGATTCAGGTAATCAAAATCATCGTGAAATGGCTTTTAAATGTTTGTTTTATGGTGGATTATCCTTTATATTTTCTCTAGTCAGCCTATGCCTTACCTATTGTTCATTGCAAATCCCTCAACATCACATTCACAGCTGCCTTCTTCAGTCGCTTGGGTGAGGTTTGACTACACTCAGCTGAAGGCTGTTGTTTTACATGGCCCTACAATAAAATATTTTCTGTATTTTTTAGTGTTTGTGTCCTAATTTCTCTGTTTCTCTGAGTGTTTGTGTGTGTCCTGTAGATGTGCATGCAGGCAGCAGCACATCACGGCTCAGTAGTAGAGGTCAATGGGTTGTGTGTGTTTTCCAGGAAGTCGCTGTACTCAGAAGCCTTCAGCTGTGCACTTCTGCTGCTTTCATTCCTCTGGGGAAAGACGCTTTATGTGAAACATTTTCCTGGAAACAAGGTTCAGAGCTGAATGGTAGCTTTCAAGTGCTCGTTATCTTTGAACACAGGAACTGTGGCCTGGGTGATGATGAACCTTTTTATAACACAGTGACTTCTGACATGACACAGTTCCAATCATTTCCAGGAAAAATAATCCTCCAGTATATAACCATTAGCAGGCAATTGTCTTTACACTAATAGCCCACAATAATAATAAAAAATGGGCTGAAAGGTTAACGCTCAAAACATTATTAGAAGAGAGAAACAAATAATAAGTAGTGTTTGGGTGCTTATCAATGTTTGGTTTACTCAACAATAATAAACACAATATACTTGGTTAATGATAAAAACAGCTAAATATTAACTCATTATTACTAATTATTAAACATGTACACAGATATGCAAATGTGAAAAGCGGCGTTTCCATTGGATGAAATGTGGCGTTAAAAACCTTAACGCCTGCAACTGCATCAAAACAGACAGAGGTAACTATAACATTACCGGAAGTAAGGCTATTGGCCTTCAGAATAAAATGTTAACTAACAGGTGATAGGGAAAACAACAACAAAAAATATGTAAAACTCAGTCACATTTAATTCTGTACAAAATGAAGTCTGTATTAATGAACTGTGATAATAAATTCAGATGTGTATGGAGACTAATGTGTTCAATATTACAAAATAAATAATACATAATGAAACAGATTATCATAATAATAAATATTGTAAGGCACAACAAGCTCAAACGTATGCAGTCCGACACAAAAGTCCCACAGCATTAGTTACATCTTTATCTAATAAATTGAGTCTTATCGTGTATAACCGTGACATTGTATAATGAGACAATGTCTTAAAAGTCATTGCAAGTCATTTCTTTTTTTAAATAGGTGAGTATATTTCAAAATTCTTCATGATAAATCGCATGACAAAATAAACATCGTAATGACCGAAATACTTCACACACTCAAATTTCCAAGGTGCTTTCTCATTTCTCAAAGAGGCTTTAGGATGGGTTTGTGTATAACACCAGACCTCCAAAGAGCTTTAGTCTTCAGTTTCTTATTTTGAAAGCCGTACCGGAAGTGCAGTATGTTGACAGTGTGTGTGTGTGTTGACAGAGATCAGAGGAGCTGCTGGCTGCAGCTTGTCTGTCACTGCGGGCGCTGAAACACAAAACCTTTCTTGGAATCAGATTCCTGGAACCAGTCAGTCCAAAGTGAAGCGAGCAGTTTTCTGTCCTAACAGCACACACACTCTCAGCACACCACAGCTAACACGGATATATCCTCTCGGTTTTTACGACTGTTGCAGGTTTTAACACGGAATATATTATCTTTTCGACCCCAGCAGAGATTATTCGGCATTTATTCATTATTTAAATTGAGAAACTGCTGTCTTATCCACAAGGCAGTTTTATTCAAATCGTCGTGATCTCTATGATAATCTTTGATTTAAGGTAAGAGTGACATCAACATGATTTCATGATTTCAAAAGTCTGTTTGATCTAGAATTGCATTATTGATATACAATGATATTGGCTGATGTCTGAATGATTGTGACACTTTATTAACCCTTTCATTTGTTTTTGGCTTTTTAAGGCCTATTCTGTGTCGTGTGTTTTTTGTTTATTTCACTAGTCTACTTAATGTAGTCTAGCCTACATTATCTCAGATCAATACATCACTAGTAGAACTGTTTTAGGGTTCTTGTACTTTACTTTAGTATTTTACGCTACTTTTACGCCACTACAATTGGGAGGGAACCACTTCATTTATCTGAAAGCTTCAGTCATTAATTACTTTTCAGATTCTAATGAATAATATAATTAAAATAAATTATACAAATAAATACATTAAGTGTTGTATTGATTTGCATAAAGATAAGGTGTTTTAATATAAATGTATCACTTGGTTAAATGTAAAAGCCACCCAGCTAAATATTTAGAGAAAAGTATCAAGCCAAATTGACCAGCTGACTCATATAATACTTATATAATGCTTACTTATGCGTACATTAATATGCATTATAATTCCACTTTATAAGAAACATTATTTGGAAATGGGGTATAATTCCCATCTAAATAATTTAAGTATATAGCAATTAAGGACATTTTGAAGCTTCTATACATCTGAACATTGGCGGCCGGCCCATAGGGGCGCTAGGGGCGCAGCCCCTAAAACATTTTTTTTTTCTTTTTCTTTTTAATGAATAAGGTAAATATGATATAGTTGGTATCAGTAAAATGTATAATCTACAATAAAATCTCCTTTAAAATTGTGTTACGATGTCTAAAGTTACTGATAAGTCACATGTTTCCTGCCTGGAAACCGTGTATCATTACCCTCTCTCGTCAGGGCGCTAAGAAAGGAGCCCTCACTCAGCCCCAGCAGCAGCCAACACATTGTTGACTGTTGCTATCTGTAAACTATGCCGCCGAAACATAATTTCAGCCAATCAGCGTCGTCATATCTGATGCTCACAGGGCGGCAATTTCAGCGTCCGATGCAGTCTGTGAGTTGTTTGGACTCGTATCCAAGGTGACGCAGTAGTTGATGAGGATAGCTTCGTGTGCAGGTGGAGTCTCCGGACCTCGGTCTCCGCCCAATTCCGTTCAAGANGCTACCTACAGTAGCTGCGTCTGCTAGTGGATCGCCGGTGCTGTAGATTAACATTTACATGCTTATTGTAGTTGTAAGGGCAATGCCTGTAGCACCATGGAGCATATGTGTGGGCTGGACCTGTATTTTACAGGAAAGGAGTGAGCAGAGGGTTGAGTTGTCGATTCTTGTTCAGTTTTCTGTGACTATCTTCCTCACCCTCTCGGACTTTGAGTTGCGCGAGCATTCCCCTGGACCCCCCTAGTATGGTTTGGTCACCATTTCCATAGCCCCACCAAAAATATTTTCCACCAGCCGCCACTGCATTTTAATACAGAGTAATTTCAAACTGTGATATTTTACTTACTAAAAATACCTAACAAGAATCTTTCACCAATTGGGGTTGGTTGTTTTTGGGCACGTCAGCTCAATTTGGACAAGAGCAACCAAACCTATATTTTACATCTGTGAATTATAAATTATATAAATATATAATTTACTTGGGACAGTGACCTATTAAAGTAGTTCAGAGCTTTAACAGAAATCTCTGTTAAATACCTAACAGGTAATGTTCTGTGTATTAACAGGGCTGCTGTTAATCAGAAATGGTTGCCCGTGCAGTGACAATTTTTCATCATGAGGAGCGACAAGCTTGCTGCCGCCCGCAGCCCTTTCCTCCACCCTGTGACCCAGCAGATGATCTCCGCTGCATCACCACCACCTTCCAGTACCTACAGACCTCAGGTACACCGGCAGCCTCTCCGACTCTGAACTCAGATTGTACTTCATTGAAAAAATGTTTTAAAACTGTTTTTTTTTTAAAAACGTCTATCCCATATACGTTTTATTTATTTTATATGGATTACATTAGGTGAGGGGAGATATTTCATTGCATGGCTTTGCGGTATAATATAATAATCTAGGAATCAAACCCCACCTCTAGTAATACCATATGGATATATTCACCAAAACTACTTTCATGTTAAAGAAAAAAAAAAAAAGCTGACATTAAAACTATTTATTTGCATTCAGGCTGGTACTGGGGCTCTATCTCTGCAAATGAAGCTCGGGAAGCTCTCCAAAAAAGGTCTGAAGGCACATTTCTAATGCGGGACAGCAGTCACCCTCAGTTCATGCTTGCCCTGTCAGTGAAAACCTGCTGTGGACCCACCAGCATTCGCATCAAATACTGCAGGGGCTCTTTCTGGCTGGACTCCATTTCCCCCGGCCTGCCTCACCTGCAGTCCTTCCCAGATGTGCTCAGCCTCATACAGAATTACACAGCCTCCGGACACACAAAACAGCGCCAGAGGTCTAATGACATCCATCCACAAACAAAGCCTGACCCCACCAAGCACACGGACAGTGACAGCGGAGTGCCTCTGGAGCTGGTGTGCCCCCTGCACAAACCAGAGGCCTTCTCTTCTTTACAGCACCTGACGCGCCTCGCAATCAACAGACACACAAAGTGCCCTGACCATCTGCCACTCCCGAAGCCTCTGCTGCACTACCTGCAGGACTATCCTTTCCACATATGAGGGTCTCTGTCTCTCTGGTGCAGGACACAGAGACTGGGACATGGGTCAGGGTCACCCTCCTTGTTGACCACACGCTGTGAATCTGGAACAGTTTGACACCCAAAGGGACAGTGATTGACCCAGATGGAGGTAATTGAAATGAATGATGAGCTAAGTCTTTGTACTACTGTTGTTCTCTAGGATAAGATTTGTTTGTACTATTTTCATAAGTCTGTGTCAGAAACTGTGAACTGATTTTATTTAAATGCCAATGTGTGAGCTTTTTCTATTTATTTGTGCCATTTCCTATCAGTAAGAAGAGATTCACATAATGTCTTTGCATGTTTTGGACGAGTGGCTCCAAATTTGTACTTGATTTTAGCAATAATAATTAAAGAAAAACTAAAATCTGTTAAGATATGACTTCTGGTAATTTTGTTGTTCCAGTAGGATTTACATTACAAATGTTTTGGATTTCTTTAGTTTTTCCTCTTAGGAGCTCATTTTACGGCACTTGACGTTCGCAAAGTGTATTTAATGGAGCAATGTTTATTCACTCTTCATGAACATAATGAACCGGATGAGCCATAAGCCACCAGTCGTCTCATTTAACATTTTTTCGGCACTATTATTATCACAAAATATCTTAAATATGGCTTTTTTCCAGTGCTACATGTAGTTTCATTGGACATGGTCAAATCTTATCACAGTATAATCAAGAATTTAAATAGTCCAGGGTAAACTTCTAAGATAGTGTTACCAATAGTGTGAGGTCAGCCTGACCCTAACATGACATGCAGACTGGAGGGCCTTTTAAAGTAATTATATAATATATAATAAGAGACAGGGTAAAACTGACTATGGTATTTTGTTATGTACAAAATCATCGTAAATCATAACTCTTCTTACAAATCATTACCAGACTGAACAGCAACAGGTGTTCATTGAAGAAAATGGTACTGTAGGAAATATGTTTACACACTGGTTTCATTCTCAGAAAAGGATCATGTCTGTGGATTTCAGAGAAATAAAACATGTTTTTTTTTCACGGTTGAAAGGCTTGCCACTTGAACATACAGATGAATGTGCGGTATTACTGTTTTCATGGAAACACGCTTAAGTTGGTTTCCACGAGGAGGAACTGAGCAATGCTGAGAAAGCCTCTTATCAGGATTAGAGTAAGTAAGAGCTGCAGTTATAAATACACCGCTGCACCAACTGAGAGCAGATCATCTCTCTCTGTGTCAACCCGTCACTGTCAAACATTTAAATCATTTTTCTGTTTTGACTTAAATGATCAGCATCTTTTAATCACTTTGCTAACAACATTCTCTACCAGGAAAGCATGGACGTTTCTGACATGCAGTCTTAATAGTTTTGCTGTTAAATGCACAACTGACAAAGATGAGTATGTGTAGCTGGCGTGAACTGTAGGGATTAAACCCACAGAGGAAGTACTCAGATCCTTTACTTTATATGATGTAGAAATACCGCAATGAAAACAAATTGTACTCAACACAACACATTCAAAAAATAAATAAATCAAAAGCACCTTTCGGTGTCTTATTTTATATATGTTATTATAGATTGTAAATGTGTTAACCTGATTTGGATGTGCCTATGTTGCAATTTTTACTTTTACAATTGTTACTAGTGTGCACCTAAAACAATCAAACAGATCTGTTTCAGAAAATCTGAATTTGCTATATATATTTTTTTATGAGCTGCAGACATGTAACCTGTAAATAATTTGCATTACCACAGATCAATATCAACCAAGGTGGGTGAAAACATGCCCTACTAAAGCACAATATTCACTGACATGATAGCAGCTTGATTCCTATTTTTAAATTATCTTGTGATCCTGTGTCAATTATTTGTTCTGAATGATCAAAAAATGTTTTTACATAAATTACTTTGACATGTCAGAGTAAAAGAGGCACAGGTGTAAATAATACAGTGAAAGGTGGCTGCCTCAGTTTCTGGGTCCTGGCTGTTGACTGTCATTAGGTCAGGACTTACTGAGACATTTAAAATGTACAATTGTAAAGTTAATTGTAACACATGTGATTAAAGTCCAAATGTCTGCTGTCAAAAAGTGCATATTAAAAATGTAGTTTGTATTTTATAGAGACATTTCTTCTATCGTGTTACCAACACATAAAACAAAACAGCAGGCCTGGGGACATTTACATTATTATTGCAGGAAAATGTTCACAGTTCACAGAGGATAAGCAGTGGGTTGCTAATAGGGGCCAGCAGCTATGTTTGCCCTGGAGACCCAAACAAATTTTCTGCATAATAGATTATGATAGAGGACAACAAATGCCAACACTGCCAACCAAATTTGGCGGAGTAGAAGTATGAAGTAGCATGAAAAGTAAATACTCAAGTAAAACACTAGTACCTGAGTAAATTTAAAGTTACATTGGACCACTGGAAGAAAATGTGCGGTATAAAGGACCCCAGCCCATAATATAGTATGTCAGTTATTTAGATATTTCGTCCTAGAGACAAGCAATTATGTTGCTGTTCTCTATTATATATTATTCAAATGTATACAAATGTATAGAAATAATAATGATAGGACACTCATGTTAACCATACATTTTAAGATATACACAAAATTATTGTAAATAAATTATTTCTGAAATATCCTCGCCATGGGTATAAAAATAAACAAAAAAACATGTGAAAAAGTCACACCTTACAAAAGTAGTACTTTTAACCATAATGTCTGAATGATATTAATGTGAGATGCTTCTAACAGTTATTTGAATAAGGGCTATGGGTAGTATAATAATAACAAAACAAATTGCTAATAATAACCATCGTAGCTTTAACCATGTATTCCATTTATATGGTGTAATATTTAATGTTTGTACAACAGTGAATTGTTATCCTCCCCCACCGCCTCACTTCCCTCCTGTTAATCCTCCAGCAGCAGCGCAGTCAGCAGCAGCAGCAGCGACGGAGGCCAACAAAGCACTACTTGGAGATCATTTGGATATATTTTAAAGCAATCATTAGGTAAGCACATAATTCAAAGCAATGTTAAGTTACATTACATTGTCAGTGTGCGTTGTTGGCAACAACATTGTTATATGTATTTTGTTAACCTATATTTGCATCCTATATTCTGCTGACGCTAGCCAGCTAGCTAGCGGATCGATGGAGTCGCTGTGACTTCCGTTTTGCTAGCTAAAACCCAAGCTAGCCAGTCGTACCGGTTAGTGACTTTAAAGGAAAAAACGAGGTTTTTGTGGGAAGTTAGTTGAAAACCACGAACACGGCCGAGGGATTATATATATTATAACATAAATAACGCACATGTATCCAACACAACCTTTGAATAACACCATAAATGTGTAAACTCACCGCACTGCCCGGCTAACGCTAGCTGGTTAGCTCGGGTAGCTAAATCTTTTGTAAACAGAACCCCCTAGCTAACTGAAAACTAGGTCAACATACACGGCAGTGAATCACAATTATATGTTGATACCAGTGAGCAACGTGTTCATTTTTTCGGTAAATCTAGTCACTGTTCTTTATGTTATATGGGACATGTGAACGTTAGTGAGTAATTTGTCAATGTTGATCCCGGGGTGGGTCAGAAACACTCAAGCGGAAGTGTATCATCATGTTTTTCTGCTAGTCTGACTTAAATTGCTATCCTAATTCAACATAAGGTGCACGGTCTCACATCTTGACATGCTGTCCTCGTGTCTTTCATTGTATACAACTGCAGTATAGCTGGCTGACAGACAATACAAGGCCGTGATGTTGAAAGCTAAATAGTTAGCCCCGGGTGTTGGTTTCAGACGAGTTGTGTCAACACAGCTGAAGACGGGTGACTGCTCATCGTTTCTCACATGCGTAGAGGTGGAAGTTGCATAATGCCTGAATGCAATATTAATTACCTCCCTGTTGTTTTTGATAAAGTGTTTTCATGTTGTAACCTTTGATGTTTTCTGTCCCCTGTCTGCAGCTATGGCAGCAATCAGGAAAAAGCTGGTCATAGTGGGAGATGGAGCCTGTGGCAAGACCTGTCTGCTCATTGTGTTCAGCAAGGACCAGTTTCCAGAGGTCTATGTGCCCACAGTGTTTGAGAACTACGTTGCTGACATTGAAGTTGATAGCAAACAGGTAATGTAGTTCTCTTTTCACATTTCAGTCTACAATCAGCAGGATGGCCCTTACAGCTGAATTGAAGTCCCTTTTTACTCCCTCAAATCTGTACAACTTGAACAGGTTGTATATTATGAGATGTGTTGCTTAATAACAATAAAGTTGACTTATTTTACAGGTTTGGATTGGTAAATTAGCATTTACGTCAGTTCTTAATCATGTTTGGTTCATATTTTGGATAAACTGTTCAATATTATGGTTTCTGGGTGTGCGTTTCAAAGACAACAACATGTGTTTAAATTAAGTCTTTGTTACATTAAACATGTGGACCTGAAGCACCCTGAACATGCTTTGCCTTCCTCTTATTGATTTCTTGTGACCTCTTATTGCAGGTGGAGTTAGCTCTTTGGGATACAGCAGGTCAGGAAGACTACGACAGACTGCGCCCCCTCTCCTATCCCGACACTGATGTCATTCTCATGTGCTTCTCCATCGACAGTCCCGACAGTCTTGGTAAGTTGAAACAGAGCGCTATTAGTTGTGGTACATTTTTCTCTTTTAATTAGTCTTACTGCCTAAACAGTTGTGGATTAGTGAGACAGTGAACACATTTAAGATTTAGTTTCAATTTACTGTATAACTCTTTTTGTCCCAGGAGGGAAGTAGACACACCAGTTTGAGATTTTTAAAAATAGCTCTCAGAAAGTTTACCTTGCACCTTTGCTGGACACAGGAAGGCATGTTATTATACTCCTCCTCTGTTGATTGTAACACACCTTGTATCGTTTTTTCTCAACCCTGTACATCACAGAGTCACACATACAAACACACTGATCACATTTTCAATTTTTGAGCAACATGTGCAACACACACACTTCAGCCCCATGTATCTCTGTTCTGACCAAGAAGCAACCTCCAGGTCTGATATGGGCCAATGCAGAAGTGCCTTGAACTGCATTCTTTCTAATGGCCAGCAGGGGGCGACTATGGTCCATAGTCGCCCCCTGCTGGCCATTAGAAAGAATGCAGTTCAAGGCACTTCTGCATTGGCCCATATCAGACCTGGAGGTTGCTTCTTGGTCAGAACAGANTATATTAGGGCTGTCAAGTTAACGTGTGTATTTTTGGTCCTCGGCCACCCCGTAGTTTCAGAGCCCATCGAGTTTAAAATACCATCTACAAGCATATGCCTTGAGATGCACATAGCTCACACACACAGACACACACACACACTCTCTCAAACACAGACACAGACACACACACACACACACACACACACACACACACACACACACACACACACACACACACACACACACACACACACACACACACGAGAGAGGCTCCAGGTTGAATTGAGGCGAATATTTGTATTGTTCAGAGGTTGTTGTGTTTAATATTCATCATTGTTCAAATGATAATAAACAAACATTTGCATAAAGCATATTTGTCCACTCATATGTTGATAAGAGTATTCAAAACTTGAAAAATATACATTTAGAACAGATACAAAATGTGCGATTAATTTGTGATTAATCGCGATTAAATATTTTAATCGACTGACAGCCCTAATATATATATATATATATATATATACACCAAAGGAAGGCCAATACGGTAGCTGCTCTCAGGAGGGAGTCCAGG